CTGATATATTCAAATAATGTTCTGTCCTTGATTAGGTTTTTAAAAAACCCAAGAGGGTATTATGCAAAATCCCTTACTGATCTGTATGTGTTCACACATTGTAATAATTGCAAGACTTCTCCAGATAGTGTATTATTCTCCTATGGGAATTTAGGTGTTCTTAGTTGTCATGAATGTTGAGCTCCTTCCCAAAGAACTCTTTCAGGTTTTACTTGATCTGCGCATGTGCGAGTTTGGAATGGCCGCTCCGCTTTCTCGTTCCATTTCAATTCCGACGAAAAAGCACTGGGAAACCCTTCAAACCGACCGCATAATCCTTCGAAAGGTCCCTGGGGATGACTGAGATCCAGGGGACTCGAAGAGACCAGGCAGTTGGGGAGGTCGTTGCTCCCGGACGATTCCGGACCACGCAACGCTCAGTGCCTGTTGAATGACCTATGCAGCGGCGATGGCGGCGTTTTTTATCAATTCTTGGTGCCTGCGATATCTCCTGACTCTGCCCGCCCGACCTGATGAGCCTTGGGGGACTTTTTCGGACTATCATCACCCTGGAGGGGGGGTGAACGACCTGTACGTCTGTCGAGGCTGGGCGAATTGGGCGGCTGGCTGTATTTGCCATCGCCCTTCTGGACGCCCCCTCCCCCCCTCCTTCTTTGGCTCGGTCTTTTCATCAGCGCTGCCTACTCCTTTCTCTCTTTTTTTTGTGTGACTGGACTTTTCTTCTTGGTGAGTTCCTTCCTCAGCCCACCATCGCTGCTGTGGAGCCTTCTCCCGCTCCCCCTGCCTGACATCTGGCTCTCTTCTATCTGGGTTTTTGAATATCTAGCCTTCTTCAACCATAACTCCAGGGCCCCTGGACTCGCTGTTTCAGCCCCAGTCGCTTTGATCATCACCACCCGCCACTGCCCCTCGAATACCAGCTCGGACAGCACTTGTTTAATCCATCTTATTACAGTGCCTCAGACTTTGGACGAGTGGGGGTATTTACAGCGAGTAGGGAGGCCCTCTACCACCCCTAAATTGCCCCAGACTTCTGTACCTTTCCAGGCCTGCAGGAGAGGGGGAAGACGAGACACCCTCCTGTATGCCACCTGTGGACTATTGCTGGTTTTTCAACCATTTAACCATTTCAAACTCCAAGAAGTATTTGCACAACCACTAAGACCTGCACGGACTGCTCTTGTATGTGGAATGCATGTCGTATGTATGTTAGTGAATGATCCCACTTTTTAAACTTTTTTTTAACTTTATGCTCTGTTTATTGCAATTTATGTTTTAGGGTTTAGTGGGGCATGCATGTTGGGAATGACTGTTTAGTATATATGAGGGGACCGAGAGTGTGGCCTGGAGCCCCCTCCACTGAGTGCAGAAGCAGAAGTGGATGGGGGCCCGGACCCACCTCTCGGCCCGGAGTGCATGAGGTAAATGGCCTGCCGAGGAGAACGGGGGCTGTGGGAGGGGAGGAGGGGTCTATGGAAATGGGGCCGGGCCGGAGTATCCTGGTTACGTTTGGGAGAGGCAGGTACGATGGGAGTTTCAGGGCTGGCCATTACCAGGGAAGGAGGGCTCACTATGTTACAGCGATCCCTCGTTCCGGCCCTGAAAACTCAACCCAAGGACCAGGTGGCAAGAGATGTCAGGGCCCTGGTCTCAGGTTGCTGCTCCTAAANCTCTATTTCTTCCCTCCTTCCCCTCCCCCTCTCTCTATTCCTTCCTTCCTCCCTCTCCCTCTCTATTCCTTCCTTCCCCCCCTCTCTTTTTCTCTGTATTCCTTCCTTCTGTCCCATCTCTTTTCTCTTCCTTCTCCCTCCCTCCCTCCATATGCTTTTGGAGTCCTTACAATGCACTTTGGAGTCTGTAATCTGGCATTGAGATATTTATAAAATATTCTGCATTTGTTATCTTCATTTGGCTGCTTCACCGTTGGTTGATTGGCATCTGCCAGTGATACAGAAAGAACGGCCCCTACCACAAGCGCCTTGAAAGAAGGAAGACCCCCCCGGGGACTGTGCCCATTGCTTATCTTGTAGTGCAGCAACTTCTTGTGTGTCTTTCACAGCCTTTGCGCCCATCCCCTTTGGTGGGATTTACTTGCCCCTGGAAGTCATGCCCAACCGATGCCATTGCTCTCCCCTGGTCCTCGCCTATGACCAAGCTCATTTCTCGGCCCTTGTCTCAATGGAGCAGAAAGATCAGCAGAAGGAGCAAGGTATGTCCGGCTTGAAATCAAACCGACTTGTCACAAAGAAGGGATGACACAACCACCTTTTAGCCCAGAACTGAGATTTAGCCAAGAATGAATCTGCGACGTGTCATATTGGAAGATGGTTAGATAGGAGCCTCTGAAAGCTGCGTGTACCCAGGTCACCCTGCATTGGGCTGATGGATTCCCAGCATAATATAGAATCCCGGGTCAATTCTAAATTGAAGTTTCCGATTGGTAAAATAGAAGCAACCCTTCCCCTTATCTTTCTCTTTAGGTGCTCTAGGCATTTTGCCTTTTGTCAACAGTAAAAATGTCTCCGCTGTGTCTATAGTTTTTAATGAGGTTTGTCTCCCCTGAATTCTCTTGAATATCCTCCAAGAGAGAGTTGGAAACCAAGAGCAAAACAAACTCAGGAGAAAATAAAATTTTGCAGGTTATTATGGAGTTACTGAGACGATACCTGTGCCTGGAGGAAGGAAAAGACTAGTTATCAGGCAAGGGAGCCCTCGGTTACATGCACAGGCTTGTGAAAAACAAGATAATCCTTTTTTATTTTTTGCTTGGGAAAAAATAAAGTCTTGTGGCTTTGGATTAAAATGTGATAAAAGACTAAAAACCCGGTTTAAACTGGTAGTAGAATAACAGCACTTCATCTGCTCTTAGAAAAACACAATACTGCTCTTAGAAACACGCAAGCAACTTAGAAGTGAGGAGAAATTTCCTGACAGTGAGGACAATTAACCAGCGGAACAGAAGTTGCCTCCAGAAGTTGTGAATGCTCCAATGCTCCAACACTGGAAGTCTTTGAGAAGATGTTGGACAGCCATTTGTCTGAAACGGTATAGGGTTTCCTGCCTAGGCAGGGGGTTGGACTAGAAGACCTCCAAGGTCCCTTCCAACTCTGCTATTGTATTGCATTATTATTGTATTACTGTATTTTTGAGGCTTTTGGAAGGGGATAAACTCCCCATGGGGAG